CAGGTTATGTGAAGGTGGTGAATTGCTAGATCGAATATTAGCTAAGTAAGAGCAATAATAGTTTGTGTCACCAATAACGATGTAAAACTTTCTGTCGAAAACGAAACATTTGGGAAGTTACCTTTAAAGTCAATTTTATGTGTATGTTTCCAGGAAAGATAGTCGTTACACAGAGAAAGACGCGGCGGTTGTGGTGAGGCAGATGCTGAAAGTTGCAGCTGAGTGTCATTTACGCGGTCTAGTACACCGCGATATGAAGCCAGAGGTAGGTACGCTTCGGTTTTGATCTGATGCCTAGAAGCTACATATCCATATGTGAAAGAATCTTCATCACTTAAAAATGATATTTCATTTCAGAATTTCCTATTCAAATCAACCGAAGAAGATTCGTCTCTAAAAGCTACAGATTTCGGATTATCCGACTTCATAAAGCCAGGTAAACATTGCAAGTGAGTCTCGTCTCTTCTCAAGATGATGAATGATATATGAAGACGGTTTTATGAAAATGGCAGGAGTGAAATTTCAAGATATAGTAGGAAGCGCGTATTACGTTGCACCAGAAGTGTTGAAACGTAAGTCAGGACCTGAATCAGACGTATGGAGTATCGGAGTCATCACTTACATTCTTCTCTGCGGAAGAAGACCCTTTTGGGATAAGACACAAGATGGAATATTCAATGAGGTCATGAGAAAAAAACCAGACTTTAGAACAACCCCTTGGCCAACCATTAGCAACGGTGCCAAAGATTTCGTCAAGAAGTTGTTAGTGAAAGAGCCGCGAGCACGGTTAACAGCAGCGCAAGCGCTATGTATGTGATTCTTTATATGGAAATGTCATAAATTTTCAATGATTTTGGTTATATTTTTACTGATCTTCTTCTACATGTTGTAGCACATCCATGGGTGAGAGAAGGAGGCGAGGCCTCGGAGATTCCAATAGACATATCTGTTCTTAACAATATGCGTCAGTTTGTGAAATTCAGTCGCCTTAAGCAGATTGCTCTGAAGGTAATCAACAAGAAAGAAAGAGATAGATTGTGTTTCATATGAAAGTTTTTTGAGTTTTGTCTTTGTGTTTTGGAAAGGCTCTTGCAACAACTATTGATGAGGATGAGTTGGATGATCTTAGAGACCAGTTTGATGCGATTGACATTGACAAGAATGGTGCTATTAGCCTTGAGGAGATGAGACAGGTAAGAAGAATAAAAAACCGCTACACGAGTAAGCGATTTCATACCATTGACTGCGATAGACTAATTTCTCATTTCCATAGGCTCTTGCTAAAGATCTTCCTTGGAAACTAAAGGATGCAAGAGTTGCAGAGATTCTTCAAGCGGTAATTAAGTAACTGAGTAGAGTTAGTATTTCTTACTAAAGCCTTCTTCAATCCAAAATTTGTCTTGTGTCTTTACAGATCGATAGCAACACTGATGGTTTGGTGGATTTCACTGAGTTTGTGGTTGCTACTTTACACGTAAACCAATTAGAGGAGCATGACTCTGAGAAGTGGCAACAGAGATCAAGAGCAGCGTTTGAGAAGTTCGACATAGACAGAGACGGGTTTATAACTCCCGAAGAGCTTCGATTGGTCAGTCTCATACTACATTACCCTCAATCTGCTACCTAGTTCTATTAGAATCAATGTGTTTTTCTTCTCTTGCAGCAAACTGGTTTAAAAGGTTCCATTGAACCACTTCTTGAAGAAGCTGACGTCGATCAAGATGGAAGAATCAGTATCCACGAGTTTCGAAGACTCTTGAGATCTGCAAGCCTCAAGTCAAGAAATGTTAAAAGCCCTCCTGGTTACCAACTTTCTCAAAAGATGTAATATTACTTACACTTCACAAATCAGAGAGATGAAGATTTGATTGTCCAACTCTGATCAAGAAAGTGGCATAGAGGCTAGATGGGATTTGTATATTGGATAATGAGGATCACACCATTTAGTCGCACGGTTTCGAATGGCGTCTAATTACATTCTAGTGTTGGAACTAAGAACCGGTATGAGCAAATGATGTTTTGTTTTATTTGCTTGTACTAATGATACATATAGTTAAGCATGGGGATAATTTACAACCAGTTTAATATATGGTAGTGTAATCAAGAGTGATTCGAAATGTTATATATGTTACCGGGGAATACATTTATCCGTTTATGACTTAGAAATGTGATTTATGTTACCGGAGGAACTATCTTGAACAGCTTCAGATGATGAGCTTGCAATAGTTGTCGAGCTTCCTCTTTTCTTCTCTTGTCCGGAAGCATCCTGCGTGATAGTAACTTCGATTAGTCCATGATTATAAAAGCTTGTTGGAAAAAAAAAAACTATTGAAGAAAACAAACACCTGTTGAGTTGAAGAAGAAGAAGAAGCATGGAGTTTAAGCTCAAGCTCTAAACCAACATCATCTTTATAATGACCTGTTTGGTAACAGTTCCTCATCATATTCAAATCTAAAGACTTGCTTTTGGAATCTTGCTTGTTTGAAGCACCAGAAGACGAAGAAGAAAGCTGAATCGATGCTTGTTCGGTCAGATTTCCATAGAATGGAAAAGGCTGAAGTTGAGGAGGAATTGCGACTGGCGCCTGAGTTATCGCTACAACGGGTAGAGGATAAGCATAATGTGGTATCCATGGAACCATAGTTTTTCTAACTCTATCTTGATATTGAGCATTAAGACACTCGATATCGGATTTAAGAGACGATTTCTCCACTCGCAGCTCGCTCTTCTCTTGCATTAGCTGCTTCAAAACAAGAAGAAGAAGGTCAAAGATGATGAAAAACTGAGCATTCAAGTAGAAAACCAAATAAGAGAAGTTTAAATCAAATCACCTCACGAGACTCTTGAGATAGTGTGACATATTCAGCTTTTAGTCTATCAACTTGAGTCATTAAATCTTTCAACGTTTGTATTGTATCATTGAGAATCAAAGTTTTGTCACTCTTTGGCCTATTGGGATCTGCAAGCAACAAACCATTAAAATCTCTCTCAATTTATAAGAAAACTGAAGAATCTCTGTTCGTTTATGTATATAATACCTAATGCATTTCCTAGCTCAAGAAACTGTTCGTTGAGCTTATCTCTACGAATCTTTTCTCTTTCTGCTTTTTGAATTTTCCGACAAGAAGCTGAAACTGGTTCCTTCTTCACTTCCACCATTTTCTCAGGTCTGAAATTAGTCAGAAACCAAAAACACAATCAAAACTACGAAAAAGCTTGATACTTTACATAAAAGCTTCCATTTTTCAAGCATCAAGAACCTGAGATTATGTCCCA